CGTCGACGTGAAACGTGGGGTGGGCCGCCTTGTGTGCAGCCGAAAGGCCCCTTCCAAGGTTCGGGAGGGGGCCTTCGACACGTCACCAAAATCGTGCGGGTTGAACGAAACGGGTTGGACGACAGCGGTGGAGCGCGGCGCAGATGGGCGTCGATGTCGTCCGGCCTGCGAAATTTCGCCGACTGGTTCCGTCGGCGATGCGTCGCTCGGCGAGGGATGGGCGGGTTACCGGACGGAACCCGTCCACCAACCGAGCGAGGGGTTGGGCTCGGTGGGGAGGGGGACCACTGCGCGGGCTGCTGGCGTCATCGGCAGCTCGCGCCAGCAGTTTTCGGGCGGGAGGGGGGGGTCGGCTCCCGCCCCTCGCGTGCCCCGCTAGGTGACGGCGGGAAAACGGAAATCCCTCCGAGGAAAACCCGCAGGGGCGAACGGGTTTCCGCGGAGGGATTCGGGAATTTGTCACCATCTGATCACAGCAGAGCGTCAGTTTCTGATGGATCAACTCCGATTATATACACACGGGTGATGTCAGCACATGCCGCCCCGCCCGCCCTGGCACAAAGGGAATTGAGGCAAAACGAAAAACCCGCGGAATCCCTCCCGGCCCCCGGAAATTCCCGGCTGACCAGGCCAAAAAACCCTCCGAAACCCGCGGGCTCAAAATCGTATTCTTATGCCAATATATATGTCAGCCGCACTGTTGCAATTTCGGGGACATTTGTCGAACAGTGCTCGACGGACATTGGCCAATTGCCGTCGAGCACCGTGCACCCCCGACAACACTGGTTACACCCGGTGGCAAGTTGCCAGGGCATCGCCTACACGGTGGCGCTGACGGTCGACGGTTGCGAAACCTGTTTCGCAACCGGCCGACGGTCGCAATCGACGGAGACGTCAACTGCGGCCGACCTGTCGCCTCGTCGGTCGAGCGAACTGTCGCTGTCGGATGGGCGACGGGTCACGTCTGTCGCAGTCAAACGTTCACGTCAACTGCTGACTGCCACGTCAAATGTCTCAGTCTCCACGGGGAGCAACATCAGCCCAAGGTCGCTATATAAACCTGAATTCATAGTAGAAGCACCACAGTTTTCTCAGCAGGCCAGGATTTAGGGAGAAACGGTAGCTTTCGGTGGGCACTGATGGAGACCGATCCGTCGACGACAGCGCCTTCCCGGCAGGCAGACGAAGGACGGATACCTGACGAATTGGAGTCCATCTCGACACCACCCCCTTCGTCATCTGGAGCCAGGCCGGTTTCTTCCGCGCCCCCTTTGACGACGCGTGCCATGCCGGAGGTGGCAGCGCCCACCTCGACGTCGCGAGCCATACCGGTAGTAATACAGCCGGTTGTTACGGACCAGCGTTCGACGGGTATTCCGGTCACTATTGAAGTGGGTGGTGCACAGACCGAATTCCCTTCGACAGGTCAATCCATATCTGTTGTCGTAGAACCCATCTCGACAACAAATGCCCCCTTTACACACGAGGCTCCAGCTGACCGTGCACCATCGTCGACAGCCCACCGCTCGACGGAACCTTCGGCTGGTGCACCGACCTCGACATGTGGGCGACGTAGGAGAGCGAGGGCTGTTCGGCCTGAGGTTCGCCAACCACCCCCAGCCGGCACATCCGCTTCTCGAGCCGCCCCCGCCGCTCCTAGGCGCACTTCGACGAGACCAAGCAGAGAGGACTTAGCCAGGAACGTCCCTGAAGCGACGAACGATGAGGATGTTCCGATGGGAGAACAGCGGGAGGCAGACGATGTCGAACCGCCGGACCCTCTACGGCATGCTGCGGCAAATATATCAGAGGAGGATGCCGCGCACATTCTCGGCGACCAACCGGGCGCAGACAATCCGTACTTGGCGACCGGAACACTTAAAAGCAGGATTCTCCGGTGTGAGGTTCCGCTGCTGGGAGTTGACCAGGATTCCACACGGCCGAACTATGTCTCTGGAAGCATGCACTACAAAGCTTGGGCCTGTAAAATTCTGGCACCCGAGAGAAGCAACGGAGTGCCTAAAGAGGAGCAGGTGACCTACGAGGACGAGATCGGTAGGGAGATCGGCGACGATATGGGGCCGAGATGGAGGGAGGCGCTGCGTAACGAGGAGCACCTGCATGGGCCGAAAATAACGAAATGGCGCTTGCGCGCGTACGTCGAATACATGTCGACTGAGACCGACCAACAGACGGCATCGTTGGATACAGGCCGGACCAGAGTCGCTGGAAGGAAGGCGAAAAAAAGCACCCCTCTGATGATGCTGGCGCGCCTTACTGCGCTGACGTGCTTCTGCAGAGTAGAGGCCATACTCTTCGACGAGCCACTAACGAAACCCTTGGAGGACATCACCGAGGCCCGGCAGCTTCTTGCGGTCAAGCTGCGGCAGCTGCATGACTTTCAGTTCGAGTAAGTAGGCTGCCATACACCGGACTCTAAAACTTTTCACTCAAATTCTCACCCAAGTACTCGCTGTATCTGCCCACTCAATGCAGGCAGTGCGTCGATCCACACCGGGGCTCGCTCGACGATGTTTACACGGAGGAGCAGTTCTGCATTCTCGTTTCAGACATCCTGCCGTACTTGGCCAAGGAGTACTTTCGGGAGCCGATGAGTTACCCCAGTCAGTCGCTGTGGAGGGCCTTGGCCGTGAGGGTGATGATCCTGATGGCGCATCACATGCTGGGCAGGGGGATAAGCATCCGGGAGATCCGCTACTGCAATATGTTCACTCACGTCCTTCCGCCCATCACGAACAGCAAGGGGGAATCGTCGATCCACGTTCTCGTGGTCGCCTATTGCAACTCGAAGACCTTTAAAGACAACAAGCTCGGCCACCTGTACCTGACTCGACACATGGATTTTCGGCAGTGCGGCTTCGGAGCAGTGTTCATGTGGATACATTTCATTTTCGACCTTGTGCCGCTCCACTACAACAACGATAAGATCGTGTCCCCCTTGGATTTCAGCAACCCGGAAAATTGGTCAAGGAAGCACCTGTTCTTCGCCCTCTTCGACAAGGACAAGATTGAGTTGCCGTACGCGACTCATGCCAAATGGGTTACCTGGGCAATGAAAAGCGCGGAGTGGATCCTGTCGAAAGTCACACATATCTTTCGACTGTCTGCGGCACAGATCCTCGCCGACAAAAACTGTAAACTCGACAACATCGCGCAGCTGGGTCAGTGGGATATGAACGAGATGCGCAGGTCATACGTCAGAGGCATCCCGCGCGGGGCCATCCAGCTGCAAGCGGGTTTCACGACGGAACCGGGTGACTATTACCTTGGAAGATCGAAGAGCGAAGTACCCGCGAAGGTCCTGAAGGCTATCGAGGAGCACATATTTCCAAAGGCGGAGCAGTGGCTCGACGAGGTATGGATGCGTCGAGCGCTTAGCGTGATCATCGAATGCAAGTTTTGCCCGTCTATCTCTCAATGTCACCACGTTTGTTCTTGTTCAGGCGATAGAATGGAACAACGAGCAGGACAAGGAGCATATGTTCTTCGCAGCGAAAAGTTTCTTGAAGGCCCTGCAAGCCGCCCGAATGCCCATCGCTGAGGATCTTGCGATGTACTACGTCCATTGTGACGACCACCCCTTCGACGGAGTGACTGTTTGCGACTGCGAGCGTCACCCTTATGCACAGAAGTCCGGTTTGTGCAAGGACATGGATTTCCAAAAATGGGCGCTTGACGTGTAGCTGCTCGACAAGTACGGCATCGAGATGCGGACCAACCCGACGCTGTCGAGAGCTTCGGTAAGATGGCCCTTCTAAATCTTAATCCGAACAGATTGCATCAGCCCACTTACCTACCGCTCGTGATCTTGTGCGCAGGACGCATCCTTTCAACTCAACACCAAGCACCTCATCACGCAACTTCGAGCAGAGGTCAACTTACACAAGGAGGAGGGTGGGAAAAAAGAAATCAAGATCAAGGGCCTCGAGCAGAAGGTCGAGTCATTGGAGCGGGAGAAGGGCGCGATGCAAGCGGAGTTGGAGGCGAAGACAGAAGCACTCGCGCTACTGCAGAAAGCGTTCGACGCACTGAAGATTACCGCCGCGACAACCGCAGCTGCGAATGTGGGGGGGAGCGAGAGTGTGCCGCAGACGGCGACCGAAGAAACCACCCCGCCACCACAGCAACCCCCTCAATCAACGCCCACTCAACAGAGCAAGGGCAGCCAGCTCGACCAAGCATTCTTCGACGCAGTGGTGTGGCCGTGGTGCAATTGCGAGACCGTGCGGCAGGCGTGGTCGTACTGGGACGGGCCAAGCCCGCTGAACAACGGACACAGTCTTCGACACGCTTACAGGAGGGGTTTCGCCGTCAAGTTCAGCAAGTTCACTCCGACTCCTCCCACCGTTCCCCTCGTTGCGGTGGACCAGCCAAAAGAAAAGCCACCGACCCCAAAAGCTGTCGAGTCGAAATTGCGGAAGATGGAGGTTGTCATGAGGGCCGTCGAGATGTTCAGGGTCGACGACAGCAGCGCGGCTACGTCGACGATCATTGATAAGCTTGACTCAATAGTCACGAACCACTCGATCAACATGCTGGCTGAAGGGCTCGTTCTCAAAGAGGATTTGGGGAAGCAGCTCACGAAGAAGCGCAAAGTCGAGACAGCAGAAGACAACCGGAAGGACAAAGATCGCCTCACGATCACGCGGGAGCTCATTCGCGTCGAGCTTCGAACCACAAAATGGGCCGAGAACGTGTTCAAAGACAAATGGAAAGAGTTCATGAAAACATTGGGCGAGAGCCCAAGTTCGACAGGCAATCGTGACGAGGGGGGAAACTAGAGTAGGGTGTTCTTTCAGAGATTGCATGGCAGGTTCTCATTACTGACCGACCATCTCGCATGTATGAACCTTCTGAGCATTATCGCAAACGGAAAGTCAAGATCCATGCAACATGTACATTGTGTCGATTAAACTTTGGAAACAACAAACACAACTGTCGAGAATAGCAAACACCCCCACGCAAAGTGCCCGCCTAGACTACTCCCCTTGCCCGCCCGTTTCCGTCTCAGCTGCATCCTCATCGCCCTGCTTCGCCTTGCTCTTTTCTTTTGGCATAGCCAGGCTGCCATAGCCCGCGTCCTCCAGCAAGCGGGCAGCAGCTCGACAGCAGCACCATTGCGTACAGACCTGTGCTGCCACGCGCAGCATCTGCAGCAGTATGGCGTCCGTCGAGCCGAGACCTTCGACAGCCGACGAATACAGGTGATCGGGCCACTGCTTCGCCGGGAACGTCTTGCCGCCGTGCAAAAGTATGGACACGAGTGCGGACATGGCAGCCACACAAGCCTTCTTTGCAGTCTCCGGGGCGTAGATCGCCGCGTTTGCGGCAGCTAGGGCATCCTTCTTAATATCCTCCCTCGACAACTTCCTGCAGGCCGCCCACAAGCTCGCCACAGTTGCTGCGATGGCCATCATGTGCGGTGTCGCCGCCATGCCCTTCGGGACCTGGTAAATCAGATTCCCGTGCTTCAGGCCAAGCGTCGCGACCTTACCAATCGCCAGTCACAGCGCGATTCCCCTCTTGGTTCCAGCTTTCACTTCCTTTTTTGCCGTCGCCAACAGCGACATGTAACTGTACATCGCAAGAAATGCGTTAGTCAAGAGGCCAGAATTCGACCGACAGCACATTCACCGCAAAACAGCAGGTGTTCGACAATTCACCAAAACAGCATGAATTCGACAACAGAGTCTAGCAACATGACTTCAACAGGACTTACTCGTCGAAACGACATTCCCCTTGTTCTTGTGCCACGCTCCAAACGCCGGTTGGCATTTCTGCGGCCGCATCGAGGTAGACCTTCCAGTCCTCCTCATCCTGCGCCGTGTACCCTTCGTACTCCGTAAGGACAACGTCGGGGAAGTACACGCGCCAGCAGACGGCCGTACATAACTTCTGGTCCTTCTCTGTTTCAAAAGTGCCAAGGAACCGCTTCCTCCCGCCGACGGTCTGCTCGGAAACCGGCTTCCCCTTCCGCAACCTGAAACCCGGTCCTTTGAAGGGACGTTTGCAGCCTCTCGTCTTGCCTTGGTCGTCTGGTCGAAGAGGTGGGGTGTGACCCGTGACCCTGGCCTTCTTCGCCTTTTCCTGTCGAGCAGCAACGACAATAGAGGTCTTCTCGACAGGCGCCTGACCAGGGACGCTCACCAGCTCCACCACGTCAAGGCTCTCTGTCGCGTGTGCAGCGCGCTTCGACGACTTCGTCGCAGCCGGCTTCTTCTTCAACGTTGAAGGGGAGCCCGGATCGCTAAGGCAAACGTTGCCTAGGGACGGAGCAGTGGCGACAGGAGCAACTGGAGGGGTTGAGGAAGACGCCCAATTTCCCACAAGCCCGACAGCAAGGCCAGCACCACCGCCGTGCGCAGCTGATGCCGCTTTGGTCTTCGACAGCAACCCAGCGCTTGCTTCTCCCGCTCCTTTCCCCGCACCGCCGCCTGGCGGGGTAGAGGCACCTCGCATTCATAGGGCTCTGTTCCCGGTCGAGGCGACGTGCTCGTTCGGGGCACCACTTTTCTCCCCCGCGACCACTCTTTTCCCACCCGTTTTCCCCAGGCCTTGCAGCATGTCCCGCATGAAAGCAAACACATCAGGTGGATCGATCGGAGGCGCTACGGAGGTCTTCGGGAGGGCCGACTGGTCGAGTACGATGACTTTCTCGACGGGCTTGGCGACGGGATGACGGCCACGCGCCGGTGGGGATCCAACCGGGCTGCCGACATGTCCTCCTACTGAAGAAGACGGAGGAACCGACCGCTCGTGACCTCGAGGCTCAGCCCTGCTGCGAACCCCTCCCACACCCTCCTGACGCGACCTCGTCGACGGGCCCGCCGAGCGCTGAAAACCTCTCGCCATCGCTTCGGTGAGGACTTCCAACCTCCCTGCTTCGGCTTCATGGTAGCCTTCCCTTACAATGTCCTTCAGCTCCTTCATGGTCTCGGGTGGGAGGGTGGAGCAGAACATGTCCTCCATGATGGATTTCTCGAAACCCTTCAGCACCGCAGCAACCAGCCGCTCCTCGACCTGCTTGAGCTGCTTCTCGACGGCGTCTTCGCTCGCTTTTGTGATGGCGGCTGCCACCCCCTCGATGATCTTCCCGCTCATCTCGTCGATCTTCGCCCGCGCCCCTTCCAATAGGTTCCTCTCCGCCGTGACACCCTTCACAGCCTCGGCGCATTGCGACAGTGTGCTCTTCGACGACTCCGAAATCGTATTCCACGCCGTCCGAAAATCCGCAGCAAGCCTGTTGAATACTCCGGCTTGCTCAGTGTGTTTCGCAAATACATTGGCGACGAGCTGCTTCTGCGACGCCTCGACCTTCTCGACCCTCTGCAGTAGCTCGACGACCTGGCCTCCGGGTGCAACGTTCGCCGTCGATTGGCCTGCCGTCGAAGGCCACTCGGTCGAAGGGCCCGCCTGTCCGCTGCCACTGGCCGTGCGGTGACTCCTTGTTACGGCGGCCTGTCGCTCATCTCCTCGACGATACTCCTCAGCAGCCTCCCCGTCCTCCTGCTCCTGCCCTCCCGACCCACCCACCCACGCAGCCGCAGCCCTAAACTCCTGCTGCTGCACTCCTGCCCCACCCTCCTACGCAGCCGCCACGCCCTCCTGCTGCTGCCCTCCAGCCCCGCCCTCCTGCGCAGCCGCCTCGCCCACCACCTGCTGCTGCCCTCCGACCCCACCCTCCTGCGCAGCCGCTCCGCCCTCCTGCTCCTCGACAGCCTTAGTTTCCCCTATCGCCTGCTGCTCGATAAGCTCTACTCGCTCGTCCACCCGCTCCCCGAGCGCCACTCCGTGCTCCCCCGTACGCTCCGTTCTATGTCCAGCGCCCTCGCCGTCGTCCTCGACCGACTCATCGCTCGAGCTCGAGCCGGATCTCGATCCCGAGCTCGAGTCCTCGTCTTGGTTCGCATCGCCGCCCGGGCCGCTCGCCCCGTGCAGAGCCTGCCTTGATGTATCCTCCTCTATCTCCTCCTCCTCCTCGACGTTGTACTCAATCACGACGCGTCCCGTCTTCTCGCCTCCTCCCTCGTGGTCGGCACCCCCTCCCACACCTGCTCCCTCCGCCACCTGGTCGATCTTTCTCAAAAACAGCTTGACCATGAACAACGGAAGCACACCCGGGCCAGGGTTTGTTCTCCCTAGATGCACGAGTTCGCCCTTTTGAGGCTCTAGGATGAAGTCGTCCCATTTCGACAGAATCCGGTGCACCCCATGCACGACACGAGCTGCCGCGCCGTTTTGATAAGGGCTCGACAAGGCCGTCGTCGTCTGCGACGGGTACAAAACATACGTAAGCGACAAAACACATGCTCGACGAAAACGCTGGTGGTCTAAGGAGAGCTTACCAGATGGTCGAAATCCTCGTTCAACCCCAGGCGAAGGTCCATCACGTTCAACACTTCTTGGTCGTCCTCGATCAGATCCTGGTGGGTCATCGCGTACTCGGCGCGAAGCTGCTTCTTCATCCACCTACGACGCAGCGGACAGAAGAGTAAGATTGTCGAGAACAGCAGCTCGACAGCAGGGTGGCAAAGCTGTCACTCACACGAAAACTTCTTGCGCTAGAGAAGATTGGTGGTTCATATCGGGAAACTTGTCTTTTGAATCGAACTGCATCATTCGATTTCGACTGCCACGGTGCCTCGGAGCCAGCAGATCGTCGGGGCGCGATACCACAAACAGGCTCGAGTGGGAGAACGGAGGCACACTCAGTCTGCATGCAGAGCCAATGCATGTGAGAACGGGTTCAGGGCTAGAGACAAAGCACGCAAGGCGACGAGAGAGTGTCGAACTCACGGTGTCCGCAGTAGAACGAAAATGTGAGGATCTAGGATCGAGTTCAGAAAAAGAGAATGAGAATTGAGTCGAATTGAATTGAATTGAATGTCCACCTGGGTACAACACGAGGCTATATATAGGCTCGACACAAGGCCCCGTAACCAGGTGTTACGCGAAGGTTCCGCGGGTCGCGAAGCGTCTCGAACAGATCCTTACCGAATTCGGTAGAAGGCAATTCGGTGGCAACCGAAAAGCCAGAATTTGGTGCACGCAACCTAGCTCGGTGCTATAACTATAATAAAATATAGGAAAGCACCTAGCCTAAGAAATCAAGCAATTCATGCATGCATATGATTATCCTATGCTAGAAATAGCATGATAAAGTAAAGGCAAGCAAGCATAGCTGGCATAAGCCGTCGTACTCTCACACGTCCCCCCCTCAAAGCTGGGTGGCGTGAGATACACCCTGCTTGACAAGATAGTCCTTGAGAGCACGGCGTGCGTTGCCCATATCAGCTTCTGCAACCCAACTGTCCTCAGTGGGGTCGTATCCCTTCCAGCGTATCAGGAACTCGAGAGTCTTGCCACCGCGGCGCCAATGAGAGAGAACGTGCTCGATCTTGTACTCGGGTTCATCCTGTATGAGAACATGTGGTGGTGGCGGTAGTTGCCGGCCCTGGAACTGTTGGTTGGGGTCCTTGTAGGGCTTCAGTAGCTGGACATGGAAAGCGTTGTGAAGCTTCCATGTATCTGGTAAGCGCAAGCGGAATGTAACTGGTGTCACCTGTGCCTCAACGAGAAAAGGACCACAGAAGCGAGGCCGGAGTTTGGATGGGAGGTGAGACATGTTCAAGTTGCGCGTGTCAAGAAGCACCTGATCTCCGACTGCTACTGAGTGATCACGTCGCTGACGATCGGCATACTGCTTCTGGGAGTTCTGCATCGTGGTGAGACGTCGCTGAGTCTTCTCCCATAGCTGCTGCATGGTGGTGACGAAGTCATGTGCGGCTTGGACGTGTGCCGGTGTAGTTGGCTGCTGTGGTGTGAGTGGTTCCCGTCCGTAACACAGGAAGAAAGGAGTTTTCCCTGTGGCCGCATGTGATGCGTTGTTGTAAGCGAACTCTAGGGTTGGTAGCTGTGTGTCCCAGTGGCTGACGTCGTCCTTGCAAGCTGTGCGTAGTAACTGTTGAACCACTTGATTGAGTCGCTCTGTCTGTCCGTCAGTCTTGGGGTGGTATGCTGAAGACATTGTAAGCTTTGTCCCCAACAGTCCCATGAGCTCCTTCCAGAACTTACTCGTGAATTTGGGGTCTCTGTTTGAGATGAGTGTAGCGGGGATGCCGTGGATGGTGATGATGCGGTCGAAGAAGAGTCGAGCACTTGCTTCAGCTGTAGCTGTGGCGTTGGTCGTTATGAAGTGACCCATTTTGGAGAACTTATCGATCACCACGAGGATGGAATCATGTCCCCGTGAGGTCGAAGGAAGTCCTGTGATGAAGTCGAGGCTAACGACCTGCCATGGCTGCTCCGGTACGGGTAGAGGCTGAAGTAACCCTGCTTTTTTTCTGCTTGCTGCTCTTCATCCGCTGGCACGTGTTGCAAGAGGTGACGAACTGCTGCACGTCTGCTGCCATCCCGAGCCAGTAGTAATACTTCGCTATCCCTGCTAACGTCTTGTTGCTCCCGAAATGTCCCGCGTAAGGTACGTCGTGAAACTCCTCCAATAGGATCTGCCGTAGCGGGGCGTAATTCGGTACCCAAATCTTTCCTGAACCCTTCCTTACAGCTAAGTCTTTCTCCCACTGTAATAGCCTCTTGGTCTGTGCTGTAGCAATCTCTGCGTCTACGGAGTACCCATGTTGGAATAGACCCTTGAGCAGAGGGTTCATCCCGTCGAGCTGGATGCCTGCTACATGTCCAGGGCGGCTCAACGCGTCTGCCTTGTTGTGTAGCCCGGGCTTGTAGACGATGTCGTAGTGGAAGTGAGTTTCCAGGAAGTCCACCCACCGCACCTAACGTCGTGAGAGTGTCGGCTGTGACTTCAGGTATTTGAGACTGCAGTGGTCAGTATAGACTGTAGTCTTGGCTCCCCCTAGGTAACACCTCCACGCCTTGAAGGCTATGACTATCGCTAAGGCTTCCTTGTCGTGAATGGGGTAGTTTAGTTCTGCTCAGTGTAGCTTCTTACTGAGGTAGGCGATGGGCTGCAAACCGCGTCCCTGATCCTGCATTAGTACTGCTCCGACTGCTTGGTCACTAGCGTCTGCTTCCACCACGTAGTCCTTGTCTGGATCCGGCAAGATGAGTACTGGCGCTGTAGTCAGTGCTGTCTGTAGCTGCTCCATGGCTTGCTGATGAAGGGTATCCCATTTGTAGGGCGTATCCTTTTTCAGTAGGTCGGTCAGTGGTGCTGCTATCTTAGCGTACTGCGGCACGAACGTGTTGTAGTAGTTGGCGAAGCCTAGGAACTGCTGTAACTACTTCACGTTCTCTGGTACTTTCCACTTCTTGACGGCTTCAATCTTCCGTGGGTCCACGTGTACGCCCTCGGCACTCACCATGTGCCCGAGAAACTGCACCTTCTTCAGGGCGAAGTCGCTCTTTGACAGCTTCACGTAGAACTTGTTTTTCCGCAGGATCTCGAACACCTTCCGCAGATGCTCCACGTGCTCCTTCATGTTCTTGGAGTAGATGAGAATGTCGTCCAGGTACACCACCACGCACTCGTCCAGCAGGGGTCGTAAGATGTGATTCATCTCCGCCTGAAACGTTGCTGGTGCGTTGCAGAGTCCGAACGGCATCACCAAGTATTCGTAGGAGCCGTATCTGGTACGGAACGCTGTCTTGTGGACGGAGTTGTCTGCCATCTTGATCTGCCAGTAGCCCGATCGTAGGTCCAGTTTCGAAAATACTGTTGCTCCACGCAGTTGATCGAGTAGGTCCTCTATGCGCGGTATGGGATATTTGTTTTTTACTGTCTGTTTGTTCAGTGCGCGGTAGTCGATATACATCCGTAGACTGCCGTCTGGTTTTGGAGTGAAGAGAACTGGTGCGCCGTAGGGAGAGGTGGATGGGCGGATCAGTTGTCTGTCCAGTAGATACTCTATCTGCTTTTTCATGTCTGTCAGTTCAGTCGGACTCAGCCGGTATGGTGCACGTGAGACGGGTTTCGCACCTGGTTCCTCCACGATCTCGTGCTCGTGGGTGCGTGCTGGAGGTACGCCTGCAGGTAGGTCGTCGGGCATTATATCCTTGTACTGCTCCAAGACCTCTTTCACTGCTGCAGGTAGCTCGGAACTCGGCTTCTCCTCCTCTGCTGCTGCCATAACCAGTGCTAGGTAGCCCGTGTTACTCTTGTTCACCGTCTGTTCGAACCGTGCCAGTGTTGTTTCAGGTACGTCCCCTGTATCCGTCCAGCTTCGCAGCTCCACTCGTTTCCCGTTGTTGTAGATGCACACCTTGCTGTTGACCCAATCGATCTCGGGGTTGAACTGCTTCAGGAAATCTCGCCCTAAGATAAAATCTAATCCTTTGATGTTGGTGACTGGTAGCTTCGGCTTCCACCTCAACGCACCTATATGCAGTTGCAGTGATGCTTCGCCGTGGATAGGAAGCTTCGTACCGTCCACCATGGTTGCTGAAAACTGGGTCTCTTCCGCCTTCTCTCCAATTTTCTCCAATGCTCCGCGGTCACACACCGAGTGAGATGCACCGCTGTCCACCAATGCCTGGAGGCGTCGCCCATTGCATAACACCTCGAGGAGTAGTGGTTTGTGCTGTGCTGAGTAGCCAAAGAGGGTCTCGTTAACAGGATCATAGGGTACATCAAACTTAATACCTTCCCTTTTTCCTATACCTGATTCAGCGCTTTCCAACTTCACCTGGGGGGTAGGAGGATTTTTCCGAGGCTTGTATAATTTTTCCTGAGCCTGGATGTCTCCTCTAAGCCTTGGCAGTTGTGTAGGCTTCACCTGTGGGCGACGGGGAGCCTTAACACTGTGCTGCGGGGAGAGAATATTAATTCCACGGAACGCACGACCCTTTTCTACGCTCCGTAGTACTTTGCCCAACTTCTCAGGTACCTGAATAATTTCTAAAGGCTTTTTCTTGGCCTCTAGACCTCCCGTGAATTTTTTGAAGGCTTGTAAACCACGAGAAGCAATATTCTTCGTTAGAGCATCTTTATAGGATACTTTTAACGAATTCTTACTTTCGTGGGTGTTCGGCTGGAGTTTCCCGGTCGGTGCAGAGTCTTTTTTCGCGGAGCCTCCATTCGCCTCGGCGATTTCCCCTGATGCTGGCCGATCGTGACGTTTTAGATT